TTGATTGGTTAAAAACTTGTATTGGTTGCAAGCTTTTGAATAAATTTAAAATCTCCTGCGATTGGCATATATTTTGTGTGTGTGTGACAATATTTCAAAAAATCAAAATCTTGTTTAAATCAGGATAACAAATCCCAATATTACATAATACAAATCGGAGTTGACGTGTGTGTGTGAAATTCAAATAAGCCAATAGGAATTTCGCACACAAACCACACACTTGACACAATTAAAATTTTTGTTCCAAAAAAAGGAAAACTTTTGCCTTTTTTAGAAATATATACGAACATAAGGAGTAAATTACAACAATTTGAAATAGATATTATTTAGGAATATTAAAAAAAAAAAAAAAAAAAATAATAATCCACCTCTTAAGATCAAGCGATAATAAACTCTTTCTATAAAATTAACGAAGTTAATGACGATGATTGCATTGTATGTATTTATTGAGGATTGGTACCAAAATAGTATTTTCTTTAATTGTTCACGTGATCGTGTTCATAATTCCATTAATTATTATAATTGTGCGGTGTCCTACAAAGATTATTATTATTATTATGTGTTAATTCATAAATCATAAGAATTTTCCGCTTACATAAATATGGATATGTAATACACAGTGCGTTTCGATCTACACAGATTTTGGGCTAACAGATGAAATCTCGGAACCCAAATCCACTTATTGTTTGACGCAGACTGTAATAAAACCAGACAAGGTGAACATTTGTTGATGCATCTTTAGGGGTTTTCTTTATCAATAAATTAAATTAAAATAAATTAAATGAGTTTTGGTCATTAAATGGTTTCTAAGATTTCTCTAAACTATAGATATCCATTATAAATGATTTTTTCCGTATAATTATTGATCCATTTGTTTTTTTTTTTAACGAATAATTTTTACGTGTCCAGAAATCGATTATAAAAAAATAGAGTTCCTTTATGCGCTTTTTAATTATAACTATAATTGGTCATAACTCAATCAAGTCTTCTTTTTGCGACTTTGCAGACAAATCTATCCTACATGATAAATTTGTTTAATCTGGTGAAACGTAAAAGCTAGGGTTATTAACAAAGGCATGTTGTTCTATGTGCCTGATTTAATGTTTATAGATGATGGCGTCAATATTTTAAAATCGAGAATGCAATGTGAGCTTTGAAACACGTGGTTTACTACAAACAACAACGTCATAATGTTCAATTGTAGGTATATTTTCTGTATTGGAAACATATGTACTCTCTCTATCGTTTAATCTTGTTGTAGTGACTCTACTTAAATTATTAGTGTCACCAACAGATCCAACGAACGCAATATGACATACTTATTATTATTATACTTGTTGTGTAAATTCTTAAAAGTTGAAGGTGATGTAGAAGATATAGATGATGATAAGGATGATAATAGCAACTAACGATTATTTATATAGTGTCAC